TGGCTGAAAGGGGCAGTTGGCAAGGGGCTACCTTGCAGGGGTGGGGTGGGTGGAGTGGGTGTTTCTTCAAAAGCTAAGCAGAGCTGTTTGCATGCCAGGTCTCTGCTCTGGAGCCAGGTCTCGACCCTTGGGCATGGGTGGGAACTGCGCGCCAGGTCCTGCTGCTGCTTTTCTGGACGTGGCCTGTGTGGCTCAGCGATGGTCCTAGCTGGGGTCTCTCTAGCGGAAAGACGTGCCACTTGCGCCCTCCTCGTGCTTTTGGCCAGAAATTCGGGCACAATTCGAACTGCAGGGCTCTGAACTATAAAGCTCTAAACAGCTCGGGTCCAAGGAAGGCTACATCCCTTGAGATAATCAGGGGAGGCCCTTCTCTCACCGGCATGCTTGGTGGGAGACACAGGACTTCCATCAACTTCACCGGCATGCTTGGTGGGAGACACAGGAGAGGGCCTTCTCTGTGGCCGCTCCCAGAGACTCTGGAACTCCCTCCCACTGGAGGCCAGCCTGGCCCGTCTTGTCTTGGCTGTCCTTCCGCAAGCAGGCAATGACCTTTCTCTGCTGGCAACCCTTCCCTTAATTTGGAGTGATTTGTGCCTTGCCACCTTGAATGTGTTTTTTGGTGCTGCTACAGTTTTTCAGGGTGGGGCATTTGTTTGGTCCTTTTTAGTTGTTGGGATGCTCCCTGTTTTTAGCTTTAAAGATGGTTTTTGTAGATGGTTCTGCCTCCTGGGGCCGGGAAAGGGAAGGCAAAAGCTGCTGAGGGCTCCTCAGGCTGTGCATCCAACAGGTCCGGTGCTGGACAATTCTCTCTCTCACACACACACACACAAACACAAAGAGGACGGGGGGGGGGAGGGCGCAGGTCTCAAAGCGCACATAAATGCAGTCCCGCCGCCACGGGACTTCCGGGGGCGCTGGACTACTATCCCCATCGTCCCCGGCCAGCAGGACCCCACGATGGGAAGTGTAGTCCCCCCCCACTTTCCAGGTGTGTGTGTTGAGGGGAGGCTGGGTCCGAGGCCGCCAGTTCCGCGCCCCTCCCGCCCCGACGAAGGTGAAACAGCAACAGACGCCGCCCCCGTTGAACTCCCGCCTGTTTCTTCTCCCTCCCCCGAGAAGGGAAGCCATTTCTTCCTTCGCGCCTCCTTCCCCCCCCGTCCCCGTGGGACTACAGCTCCCACCCTGCCCGGCCGTTGCCCCTGCGCGCCGGGGCCGACGGGAGTTGGAGTCCAGGAGGGGCGGCGGCCGCCTCCGCCCCTTCCCTCTCTATGGTCCGGAGGCGGAAGCGGGGCGTTGTCGGCCGAGCGCCCCCTGTGGCGGGGAGGGGATCCGGCTCCTTCGCCGCCG